ATCAGTGAAGATCTGAAAACAAAGAGTATTTTGAAAACTGAAGTATTTAATAGCTGAGATTACCATGCATTGAATAATACAGTTTGATTGTGATAGATTTTGATGTGTTGGAGTTGTATATGTGGGTTGTATAAGCTGACTCTAAAGCCTTTTCAGTGATATTTGAACTGCCTCCACGAAAGAAGCGAGAGGTGCCTCCGCTGACGCGTCTTCGTTACACGTGCCTTACCTGTGGGAAGCTGTACATGGGGCGGATAGAGGCCCATTACCGCAAGTTCCCCGATCACCGCCGTGAGCGCCCTCTTGCCACCAGTGAGATTCAGCAGTCCTACTCTACCATCAAGGCCCTCTCAGACACTGCCAAACCCAGTGCCGAGGAGGGGGGTGAAGTTAATAAATCGGTGCTAAGCCCCACACCTGGTACACAGGCTTCAGAGACCAGTGGCGAGCCCAGTCTCCCCATGGAAACCCTCACTACCAGGCCCCTAGAAACAGACACCAGCCACCATATCAAGAATGAGCCCAGTTCGGAGGTGCCGGAATTCTTGCCAACACCTGAAGTCCTTCCCGTGAAGCCAGTGCGAGGCAGGGGCAGGGGACGCAGAGGACGCCGTGGTAGAGGCAGAGGAGGAAGGTTTGGTTCTCTTGGAAAGCCTCCTTCTTCGTCCACCAAGCCACCACCTGCTCCACCACCTTCAGCAATCTCCATGTTGGAGAAGGTGAATGTGACTGCTGTCTGTTATGGGAATTGCAGGAGAGACATTGATGTTGTTTATATTATCGTTGGTCTCTAATGTAGAATTTAGAACTATTAAATTTCTGCCATTAATATTTACTACAAACAAAAATAATTATGTTTATCATTTGTACTGGATTATCATCTCTGTAATGGTCCTTCTTACAGATTTTGGGAGGTTACAGTGGAGAGGAGATCCTTCAAGCTGTGGGCAGGAGGCTGCTGGAGACTCTGAGTCCATGGCAGCTGCTTTGCTTCCAGGCCAAGAGGTTGGAGGAAGAGGGAGAGCTCCAGTCATGGCAGGGGCGAGTGCAGTATCTGGAACAGCTCCTACAGGAATGTAAGGATGAGTTCAATAGGGAGCTGCAGCCCTTCTCTGACCCAGTGACTGAGGGGCGATTGTTGGCAAAGCCCCTTGCCCTGACCTCTGCCCCAGAGGTCCTGAAATACTCAGACTCCAAAACAGACAAGAAAGTGGGCATAAAACTGAGTCAGGAGACAGAAAATGGAGGTCTGCAGACTGTACAGGGAGAGGGAGTGATGGACAGCATTAGTTTTGAGAATGCAGGAACTCAAGAAACAAGTGCAGATATGGATAATTTAAAGGTAAGACTCTGACCAGGTAATCAATTTTTGCTATTCAATGAAAGTATGGCTTTCATGGTTTATTACATTAGAAGTAATTGACCTTAATAATATACATGTAGATCTGTCTTTAGGAATAGTAAAGTTCACTTGTCAAACCCAAAGAATGTAAGATACTCAATTTTAACAGTTTGAATTTATAACAAGATATTACTTTGATCCATTTTTGTTAACAAATTAGGGGTGTTTTAATAATGTTAATTCCATTTGCAGATAACAGAAATCCTTGCCAATGCTTTGGGTGTGGCCACTGGATTCTACAAACTTCGTGAACAAAATTCCTCCTCCAAAGAGGCCTCAGAGTTTGACCCCAGTCCAGATTTAGGGGAGAAGGGAAATATGACAGAGCAGGCACAGCAGGGAATGAAGCACAAGATGGAGAGGGATGACATGACTGCCCTTTCTCCCATGAAGAGAATGCGAATGGATGTCACTGAGTCTGAGGATGGGAACAAGAATGTGGCTGCATCTACCATGGAGAGCAGCTGTGAGGAGGACAGGCAGCAGATGGAAGCTTGCATGAGGAATTCTGAGGAGAACCATAATGATGGAAGCATGGATAAACCTTTGGACAGTTCAGATCAACATTTGCCCTTGTCCCCATATACCATAACTCCCCAGATCTCACCCATGTCTAGTCTCACCTCAACTTCTGCTGTTCTCCAAACATCCTTGCCTTCAGCTTCATCTACCATAAACACATCCGCTGGATCCACAACACTGTCTACAGCCCTCACAGCTTCAAGTTTCAACCTTCCACTAAACAGTGAAAGTGGTTCTGTGAACAGAACACCACTCACAGAAAATCAGACAGTTCCCTGTGTCTCAGTGCACACATCAGCAATGACCAGTACCACTGCAAGCTTGCCCATTGAAGTTGCTAGTTTTACCAGTCAAAGCAACAGCTCAGTGCCAGCTATTTCTTCTTGCATGCAGATGCCCACCATGGAAACCTCCCTTGTCACCACATCGGCACTGCCTCAAGAGACTCCTATGCAGCAGATGCCCATGGGCGACCTTGACATCACAGCTGATGACCTTCCCCGCCTGCTCAGTGAGGGCACAGGACTGGTCGTGGGTGCAGGGAGTGATGGAACGGATGCCTGTGATGCACCAAAA